TGAAGATGAAGATGAAGATGAAGATGAAGATGAAGATGAAGATGAAGATGAAGATGAAGATGAAGATGAAGATGAAGATGAAGATGAAGATGAAGAATTTCCTCTATTAAGTTTCACTTCTTCCGCTCGTAGGGACTACACGCACTGAGTTTTTTTTCAATCCTTTTCTTTTTTCTTTAAATACGTATTTATACGTACATATGTACAGTTTCGCAAAATTATTTACCTAACTACTCTGTATTGATTTTCTTCAGTTTTGTATATAGAACAAGATTTCAACGCGAAAAAAACAATGCAAATTTGAAAAATATATACCAAAAAAAGTAAAAATAACCACCCATGCTGATATACCCGTAGTTGCGTACGTAACGTATAACCTCGTAGCACCATATAAGAATTCCAATTCAGGACCCAATGCGCCACTCAATGGAACATTCGAGCCTTCAAATGATGAGTTCCCCATATCCTCGCTTAATTTTAAATTCAATTAAAAATGTAAACCTTTTTCGTCTGACACTTGTATTGTGATAAATATTTAAAATATCTAATCCTCTTAATTCAGTTTGAATTTAATTATAAAGTCAGGTGGCAACCCTCCTATATGCAGTTGGGAAATACAGTTTCTTTATTCGTACATATGTTTGTATGGATATATGTATGACGAAACAAACGGGCTTCGTTAATACACTGATCTTAATGTATGTACATATGCTTGGATGGATGTACATATATTTGTATGTATGTATGTACATATGTTTGTGTACATGTATATATGCACATATGTAGTACAAACGAAAATGTGCTTGTTGATATCAATGCGAATTATCGATAGTTGTGATAGTGCCATCGATAGTTTGCCAGTTTGTAATGAAGCCATAAATACCAGTACACAGCCACTAAATACTTAGACCTTTTGCATGGAAATTAGGAAAATGCGTACGGGTAGGATAATTCCCTTAAAAAGCATTGAGTATTAAATGATTTTTGGAATTTTTCATTTCATATTTCTGTCGCACTACCGGTAAAGTTGACTCTCCACCCGAAAAGGAGTAACATTGAATAGCTTTTAACTTTGTGTTGTCTGACAGAACTGATTATAATAAATTGCCACAAAAGTATGGACAAACTTCAACAAAAGCACAACTTGGTAAAAGCTCTTAACACAAAACGGTTTTCAACTACATATACAACTTACATATATAGCTGTAAATACTTCCTTACTTCCATAAAGGATGGCAACATCTCCGTTTTAACTCATTGTATTTTTCATCCTGCATTTCAACACAATACATTAATTTCTTTCCACCCTACTTACGGTAGTCACTGTGTGTTACTTTACGCACCGCTGCCATTTGCAAAAGAAAAAAAACCTTTATGAAAAACCTCGCAACGTTTTATTTTTCCTTCGCGCATCCTACTTCATTCATACATACATATCGTGCGCTTGGTTTCGAAAGATCCTAACTAATTTTCTTAAAATTTTCCCATTTGCACAAAAATCTGACGATTAATTACTAAAAACTAATTAGTAGCACTCTTGATCAAATAAAACACTATTTTATAAACTCGCAATTTAAGAACATTAATTTTAACAAAATATTTATATTACATTTGCCAAGAAACCAAAATTTTAGATAGTGCGTTTTTACATTAAGGCAACGCAATATGGATAAAAATATTAAACGCAACTACCGTAATTTGCGCATTTTTCTGCTTTCAACAGCTGAACTGATTTGTTGATGCATGAGTTTGCAAAAAAAATAAAAGCCAACGGAAGTGGACGTCTTATTATGATAAAACACAAATACAGCAGTAAGCTCCTTTGAAAATAAACAGTTTGAAGTTGAATAGCGAAAAGAAACTGCTCTAAATGGTGCGACTATTGAGTGAAGGATTAGTGGCCTTCTTGAACTAAATTAAATTATTTATTTTGGTATAGCAAATTACCATAAACCTAGTTAGCTCCAGGAGAGTGATTGCAGAAAAACTATTACTTGCGACAACTGCTTTTAATATCCGCCCCTATTGTTATAACACATTATGTGAGAATCGCTATCGATGTAAAGTAACTAGTGTTCGCCTAGCGGTTGAAATTCAAATACCAAAATTACGGGGAGTTGAGGTCAGCTAAAATGAGTTGAGTTGAATTGAGCTGAGTTGAGTCGCGTTGAGTTGAGTTGAGTTATGGTGAAGTGAGTCTAGATAAGTTAATGTGAGTTAGGGTGCATTGAGCTGAGATGAGATGAGCTGCGGTGAGTTGAGGTGAAGAAAAATTAGGTGTTGTATGGGAATCAAATGGGATGAGTTAGGGTGGGGTGAACTGAGGGGAGTTGATGTGAGGTTAGTTTAGCTGAGATAAGGCGAGTTGAAGTGATTTGAAAGGAGCTGTGGTGAATTGAGTTGAAATGCGCTGAACAACAAAACACAACAAAACATAACATAGCAAAACAAAGCAAAACAAGTACGATCAGTGCTGTTGTTAGATATGCCGAAGGCTTCATACCTTTCATGAACATCTGAAAATTTTACTTCAAAAGACTACTGCATTTGAAAAAATGTATATATTCACAGTAGGCATCGATAGAGGAGAAAATAAAATAATAATACACGGTACCCTGAACCTCACTGAACATTTTCCAAAAAAAAAGACCAAAATCTGGCGGGCGTTTTTTTTTTCTATGGTAACTTTTACTAATTCAAATATTACACAGGCCAGCAAAAAATGGAAAAAATTTAGTTTCCTAAAATGTTAAAGTTGTTTTTGATAGACTTTTTTGTGTTGATTACGAATCTGTAAGTACAAATTTTCCATCAGCTTTAGATTTTGAGAAAAAGTGGTCAAAGTATCAAAAAATCGCGTTTTTCGCAATATTTGAGAAACCCTGGGAAAAAAACAAAAGGGGATAGAACCTTCCACTTGAGCTTAAATTAAAGTTAGAACTCTCGGCTACTATCTTTTTAAGAATACCATTCATGCACCTTGACTTGATGGTAATTTATAGTCATTTATTGAATAATAAACTTCGCCAAAATCAGTTTTTGCTATTTCAGTAAATATTCAATCCAAATTGTTGAAAATCAGTATGTGAAATGGAATTATGGTAAAAACTAATATTATACAATTTTTGGAAAAAGGGCGTGACGCCGACCACTTATGATGATATGTTGTATCTCTGTAGACGTTTGAAATCGGGGAAAAACAGCCCTGCTTATCATGCAAAGGTAGTTGAGAGAAAGTCAAAACGACGATATTTGATAACTGTCCTTTGATAAATTCGGTTTTGCCCGAATTTATACTTATTTGGATATTATCTCTATCAATTTCTCTATTCTTTTAAATTGTTGTCTATTTTTATATTTATCCTCTCAATTTTAACTCTAGCTTTCTCTTTACCTTTATCCTGATCTCTATCTTCATTCTTTTCTTGGTTTACAATTTCACTCCCACGTTTGGCATTATATTAAATATTTAAATTTACCTTCCTTTTCGTCTTTATTTTAAGGTTTTTTTTTTGCTTTTATTTAAGTCTTTTCCTTTATCCCTTTCTTCATCTACATATTAAGACACAGGTAGACTCTGAACAAATATTCACCAAAAAATCTAAGTTCGTACAAAAATGTGTATGTATACAAACTAAGTTTTGTTTTGCTTGTAAATTTATAGTAATGATTCTCGAATGCGTTGAAAACTCTTTTTAGTTGACAACTATCACTTTTATCAAACCTTATGCATATAGTATAATGCTGGAATAGCCAAATAATAAGTATGTTGAAAGTCAATACAAGGTTGAACTATTATATGTATTAACAACCGAGAAACTGTTCAAGCAGAAAACAATTCTTCTAGTGAATAACACCGTGCGACAAAAACAAACAAACTTCAAAACACACGAAACAATCAATATACTCACGAAACAATGGGCCAAATATAGTAAAGCTTGGTTTTTTAGTTTTTCACTCTGACATCAGAAATTTTTTGAAAGGACTTTAGAATTTTAAAGAAAAGATTAATTCAAAAAATTATTTAAAAAAATCAATGGAATATGCAATAACGGTATGAGTTCCAAATGAAAGAGAAAATCCTCTAGAATTGAAAGACATTAAAGTTGTTTGGTTTACAAGCACGAATAAGTCTTGAAAATGCGCTTTTAATAAATTTTATTTTTTTTAGTTAATAAAATTAGTAGGACGAAATTCGAGGATGTGGTCATGTGTATATTAGTCGTTAACATATAATTTTCTCAAAAATATATACTGCAAATTTTCAAGGATAAAATATTAAACAGAAAATTTTCCACACCCATTCGCATTATGCACCAAAAAGCTTAACAGTTTTTACTTCTACAGGATTTCCTCTTTTATTTGATACCCCCATTGTCAGCCTAAATCGCACTCAGATTTTTTAATAATTTTTTTTTTAATTGATAAAATCAGAGTGAACAATTAAAATCCCAGTTTTACTATATTTTGCCTATATTTTAGCGAATATATTAATTGTAATGTGTGTAAAATTTACTGTCGCACAATGTAATCAAATGTGTATTAAAAGTAATAAAATTCATATTTTTTGCTGTTTTCCAAAAAAGCACAGTAATTTTCTATTTTTCTATAGTTATTTATTTATTTATTATACATTATGGTTCCTATCTTCTTACAAACATCAACGAATATCACTTACCTTGTGTACCCGAACTGCTACCACCCTTCGATGAACTGCAATTATTATTGAATGAATTGAAAAAATTTGCCGCACCGGTGCGACGAAGTATCCAAAACATTTTGTTGTCGCAAACTTTGTATGGAGCTTTGATATAAACCGCTGTATTTACTAGATATTCTTTCTAATATAATTGCTGCTGGATGTAGCGAAATTTATTGGTTTTGTTGCTGATATATCCTGTTTCACTGATATGCTCTATTTATATATTTCCATTTACACATATAGGTATGACACTTTTTTTAATATTTTCCAAATTTTTTGCGATATGATTTTATTTTAGATTAAGCACATTGCTGTTTTAAAATTAATTATATACATGTTCCATACGCTGATATGAATTTTTTAGTTATGTAAGCGTCAAACCGTTAACATCCCGAATCACATTTTCACACTTCGTATATTGGATGTAATATATAGTTTTGAGCTCTATAATTAAAATTTAATTACTGTACAAAATACATTTTTAGATAAGGTTTCACTTCAGCATTAGCAATACACTGAACGCCTGCACCTCTGAAGCGCACACTGCGTATACGTAATATACTCTTAACTGCCACAAGTAAAATTCGAGACTTATTTTTATTTAATTGTATAGTTAGGCATGTACTTATGAACATATGTACAGATATAAAGATCACATCTTTCAGATTTTCTGGTTCAAATTGTTATAGCATTCGTTTAGGTAAACATTCTTGGTAAATTGACATATGAATCTTTATAGTTTTGACGTAGGATGTCTTCCCATTAGTTGGATAGTTTTTTCCCCTCTTAAGTCAAAAAGAAAGAAAAATGTAGCGGGCTAAAATTTACCACAAAACTTTTCGTCTAAAAAAATCCGATAAATTTCAGAATCACCCAAAGATCAAAATTCAACTTGAAGTCAAAAATATATCTAACTTTGTTTACTGGTTACAATTAGCATACATCTCAAATCCATTGTATTGTTAAATGTTATGGCATATTTTATGGTTTAAACACTTGAGAACCTTAGGTAAATCATTTACATGCAAAACAAAAAAATGGACTAAGAGAAGAGCCTTGAGTGATTCCTCTGATCACGGGAAGGAAGTCAGACTTTCTGTCACCGACATCAACTTCCTGAGTTCTGGCACCAAGGTAGGATCTGTCAATGTAGTTGCATAACTGAAAAGTTAAATAAATTATGGCCTATGGTCAACCGAATCAAAGACCTTGGAATGGTCAAGAATAGTTAAGAAGGCAGCATTATTTTCGTAAATTTGCCCCGGAATGATTTCCACCATAGCTAGTAGAGTCTCCGAGGTTTAACATTGCCTGCCGATGTGCAACCGCTATTAGAAAAAACTTTTTAATTTTTTTTTTTATGTTAGTCGGAACCTGCGGTCTGAAAAAGGAGCTTTTCTTTATCGTGAATAAAAGCGATAAGTTACACACATAATTCCGTATTACAATTGTGTTGTTTTATAAATAAAATCGTTAAAATCAATTAATTTGTTGCCGCTCCAACTGGTGACATAACGCCGTGCGACAATAAATTTACTCGCGAAATTGGCGCAAAATATAGTAAAACTGTGTTCCTGTTTTTCTTTATGCCCCAGTAACTCGTTTCTGTACTCTTCTCTACCGATTATTTATCTACTGGTAGAGAATATACGTCATTCTCTACTACTCAATAGCAGTAGAGAACAAGGCGGCCAATTCATATCTCAATTCGCCTGGTAGAGAATTGTTACAGAAACGAGCTACAGGATTTTTTGAAGAGGACTTTAAAATTTCAAGAATACGATTAATACAAAAAAAATTAAAAATTTTAAATTCAGTGAAATGTAAATTAATAATAGGCGTGTTTTTCTGCACGCATACGTTTCTGCGCTAAAATTTGTATGGAGCTGTAAGCGACAAACTTTATTTTTAAATGAAAATTGTCGATGCTTGTTTTTATTGCACGTTAAGCGGAGATGTATATGGGCGAATCCAGCAAAAAGTCTACTCCGTAAAAAAAAAATTAAAAGTCGTTATTTATAGGCCGATTTATCTGTTATTATATATACTGGTTATGTAAGCAAAAAATTGTTTGCCAAAAATGGTCTCGTTAGGTGTCGCTAGGGTCGAGATATTTTGAAACGTAGCCGGACATAGCTTTGCAAACAATTAAACTACTGTGGCTCTGATGTTAAAATAAAGAGTACGCTCGACATAAAATTCATTTTTCCTGCCGTTAAAAATTTTTTCAATGGAAATTTTAGTAACGTAACAGCAGGTAACGGTACGTCAGATAATTCAGCTTATTAAATATAAAGCAGAAAAGTTTTCTACATTTAAACGCTTGGAAAATTAACCTTAAACTTTTCCAATATTACTACAAAAGCTTTTATACAAATAGTCTGACCCAATTCGCAGAATTTTGCAATTTTGTAATTGAAGTCAAAATCCACTTCTGTTTGCTGTAACGTTGCGCCAGCGCGTAAGTTTAGTTATATCTTTAAATCGCTACTACCACGAAGGGGCCATTTAATAGCTACGCAAATCTAGAAAAAACTTTTTAAAATTTTGCGTGTAAAAAAACACGCCAATATGGGTACCAAATGAGAGAGAGAAAAAAATTAAATGTTTGCGATAACAATGACGAAAATGAAAATGTATTTTTAAAACTTTTTGCTACAATATCCTTTACAAATTCTTAGATTTATTTTTGTCACATCTTCAAATGCGGTTCTTCTAACTTTACTAGTTTAGTTTAATGTACATAATTTTATATTTTATTGGGTACACATATTGGAGTTCTACACAGCACAAAATTTTTTAAACTATTTATTTAATTAATCGTGACACTGAAAATTCAAAGTCCCATAAAAAGTATTTGCATAGTAAAACCGGTCAGAATTATTTTTTGTGTTTTTCTACTCAGTAATTGGATAAAACATAAATCATTAATCATAATTAGGGATTTATAGGAAAANCCACAAAAAATTTTTTTCAGAAAAAAACAATAACGGAATTCGTTTTTCTAGAACATATTTAGGTCGGCAAGTTAGAATATGCATTTCGTCCTTTCAGACCGGCTCTTTATTACGAATAACTGCGAATTGTGCAAAAATTTTCGTAACTAAAGTTTTGAGGCTTTTCAATTTCAATTAAATAAATAGCTCAAAAATAAAAAAAAGAATACGGTAAATTGTTCCAAGGAAATAATCGTTCTCGCCGAAGCCCTTTAGAGAGCATTATTGTCCAGTTTCATAGTCTTTCAAAGGATCTTCCGAGGGCTTTAAATTAAAATAAATAAATTTGGGTACCCAGCTTCGATGAAAGGTGTTGACAGCTTCGATGTAAGCAGTTGACTCTCGAATACACTTTGCGGCATTCGGTTTCTTATCTTTTAAGTTATTTTTAAAGATGAAAAAAGTAGTAAAAAACTAGCGATGGATCGGGGTTTTTCATAGATCATTGACAAATAGTATTCAATCCTTACCTAATTTTGTGCAAATCAAAGGTCAGACTTATGCCTGTTAACAATTCGCTTCTCTTTATAAGAACACATGGAACATTTCTGTAAATAAAATCCAAAATTACAATTTTACGACTCATAGTGTTTCGTCTTTCGAAAATCAAAATGGAGCACATGCGGGCAAATTATTTTTGCTTTAATTGCTCAAAGATAACTGTAGTTACATATATTTTAAGGAAACAAACTTTGACAAACCTTGACAAGCAAACAGAAACACCAATATTTAAAAATATTACTCAACAAAAATTTCAAAATAGACCGCTTTAAAATTTGGAAAATATTGCTATATTAAAAGCAATTTAGTTAAATTCAGTCTTAGATGGTAGAAATTGCCTTCTTCTTCCACGTTCAAATGGTTTTTCTTCCTGAAAGAGGTCTTCTCTAAAACACATATACCGATGAAACAAGTAGAATGACTGAAAACGTGGAAAAAAAACTATCACAACGTTGACTGTTTTCATTTACTGGACCTTTGCAACAATTGGTAAATCTGACTTTTGGCCGGTTTTTCTGCATAAGTACTCCTATGTTCGTCATAGGGAAAATTGAAAACTCACTGTCACTGTATTTAACCCCCAGTTTCTTGAGTATATTGATTTTTTTGGTAAATCTGACTTTTGGCCGGTTTTTCTGCATAAGTACTCCTATGTTCGTCATAGGGAAAATTGAAAACTCACTGTCACTGTATTTAACCCCCAGTTTCTTGAGTATATTGATTTTTTTGTATGTTTTGAATACATATTTAAAATGGAAATGGAAAAGATATCTGTATGGAGGTCTTAAGAAAAAAATGCTCATATATCTATTTCTTCAAGATAATTTATAATAAACGCAAAGTATTTTTCCTAGTAACAGAAAAAATTAAAAATATTTCCGTAAAAATCCGTACAGTTTTGGACAACTTTTTGGTATTTGTTTTCTACAGCGTATTGAGCTTAGAGAGTGAACTGTTTGTAAATGTTTTTTCTCGCAAAATTTTACTAAACTTTTTACGTTTAACGCAATGTTATTAAATGTCTTAGTTTTATCTCAATTCAGTCAATGAACTTATCCTTTTATAATAACACCAACACCACATTTGCAATTCTTTGATGACTGTGCTATGCCGACGGCATTCAAAAGCTATATTTTCACCGTTATATGATGCATACTATTGGCTTTGGATACAACGTAAATAAATACATATTTACCACCCACCGTTGAATACGCGCAAAATTTTCTTCTTAAAAGTAACACAAAATTGCACTTAAAACTATTAATAGCTATTATTGTTTTCTGTTTATTTTCAGCGCTCGCTCTTAATGCACTGGCACACAAATACAGCGATACTTAAAGTGTGCCATTTGCAAACACTGCCCCAATACATTTGGTATGAAGCAATATCTATGTATGTATGTATTTATTCACTCATTTGTATGTGGCGACGTGTAACAAGTTCATTAATTGTACCACCAGACACAATGAACCGACTTGAGAGCATGCACCGCATTTGTAGATGGTACGTATATATGTACGTACTTACAATGGTATTCTCAAATGGCTCATGTGCGTCTGTAAATGTTAGCATATTTAAAAAAAAAAACCCCAAACACACACATATGTAGTTACAAGTCGAGCCCACCCACCATTTAACAGTCGAATAAATAACGTTTCACACTTCACTGACTAAATATTTGTTTGTA